GGGGGGGGGGGTTGGGGGTTGGGGTTGGGACGCGGGACGCGGGATGAGTCCTGAAAGCTTTTATTTTGGCTCCTGCTGGCCGCGGCCTGACGCGAGAGACCCGCACGCAGAAACCAGAAACTGAGGAGTAGGTCCGGTCGGGAGAAGGGTGAGAAGCCACGCTCAGGATTCATGCATTTTCCACGGTGCCCGGCTCGACGGTGGATCGAATGACGGAGTACGTTACTATGGAGGCCATCGTTTTTTTTTGTGTTTGGTACACTAAGCACATTAAGTCGTGAAGGTTCTCTCAGCACCAGAGGCACATGGCAGGCGCCTGTCTCGTTGCACACCCTCTGCCCAAGTTAATGCGCTGGCCCAGGTCAGGTTGCTGCTGTTCTTAGTTACCGTCAGGGTAAGTTGGAATCAGGGACTCTGCCAGCAGTGGAGTTTTGCAAGTTGGTTTCTCGTGGGTAAGCCTTCTGGATATTCCAGAGTTTGGGTATGGGGATGAAAACGCACACAACTCTGCAATGGTTCCCTCTTTGAAACGCAAGCTGCTAAGCTCAAACCCCATCGGTGCAGCCAACGTGGCCACAGCAGGTTACAATGTCCTTACAACCAAAGGCCCCCGGCTTTCCTGTTAACCCTTCTGTTTCTTAATGTGCGAGCCCCGACGATCCCTGACCCCAAAGCGGTAGAACAGACTGCTACTCCCTTCCAAAATTTGGCCGCAAGGCAGTAGATGCCTCGAAGGGCCTGGCTCAGGTCTTGGAGGATCCTTTCCGCTGCCTTTGTCTGCTCATGTCTTAACCTGACTTGCACGTTGGGGTAGTTTTCTGCTTCGTTGTTGCCTACCCTCTCGGTCTGCCACTTATACTGAAGGACGGCTTCAAGGTATTGGTCAGTTACCAGAGTCTGTGCAATGTTGCAGCCGGGAATCTGTGCAGCCGGGAACGAATCCTGGAGAGGAGCTCGGCGTCTCAAGTTTGGATGGCGACTGTGATGTGAACTCGCTGCATTTGTGCAGGATCGGGCCGAGTATTCCGATCGTGATGACGTAGTGCTAGGAGATTCGCGCTGCGACGACAAGTCTTGGTCTTTAGTGGGTGTTGGGAGTTTAGTTGGGCTTGAAGCTTCAGCAAGTACTGTTTGGCATGAATAGTTTGAGGAGCATGATGTCAACAACACGATGCTTTTGACAAAGGCAGGCAATTAAGCTCTTCAGAAATTCCCCCGTAGCGCGTTGAAAGAGACCCTACGCTGTAGGGTTGAGTATTCGGCATTCACCTGCCACGAAGCCATTCGGGGATGTGTTACATGGACGAGACTTTGAAGCTTGTTGAATCTCATTGCAGCTTCATAGGGCTATGTGAGTTTTTGTGAGTTCGGGTGGGGGTCTTGGAACTTGGGGCTTCGGGGCTGCAGATTATGCGTGAGGTGGATGAGGACGAGGACGATGCCGATGCCACCGCCGACAGCCATGCGCTTGCAGCCGAGATCCAAGGCTATCTGTCGCAAGGCCTGCTGCATGGAAGCTCTGTAGGCCACGGCCCTGGTTGCAATTCCGCAACAACCGTTGTTTGCTAGCTGTCAATGAAGGATTAGGGTTTGATTTGGTTTTTGTTTCTGTTACGGCAAAGCCTGAGACACCAGACCCGTCACCTTGTAAGTCTTCTCCAAACCAGTGTAGCTAGCACATAGCCGAAGAGGGAAATGACCCCAACCTTCAGAAGTGGTGTAAAGGGTCAGCGTGTTCGGGCCTTCTGGCAGCTGGCAAACGTGAATCTGTGCGCCGCAGCCGACGACGATGACGACATCGATGAGCCGCCCGAGATTGACCCATGGGTGGAGATGCCAAGCGCGCTGCTCTTCAACTACGAGATGTTGCAAGGGCTGGTCGAGGAGGTCGGGTTTCTGGAAAGAAGATTACCCCAGTGTTCTGCCTTGTCTTTGCTGCTGCATAGTCTTGTCGCTGGCTCTTGAATTGGGGTTGGGCATCGTTGTCGTTGAAGGGTGGTCACGTCTTGGGGATCCACCACTAAGCCTTCAAGAGGTTTCCGGGCAGCTGGCAGGGCTGGGTAGCTGCTCCGTGATGCTTGTAAACTTCCAGAACAGCTGTATAGCCCTGTGTTGACCTTGCTTAATTCATTAGATGGACATGCAGCCGATTTGCTTCGGGCATTTATCTTCTGACATGGCCTGTTTATGTGTTTCCTGTTACATCATAAATATGTATGTATATGTGTGGGTTTATATATATATATATATTTATTTATTTATTTATTTGTTTATTGTATCAGTATCTATGTCTATATTTAGGTCCACATCTTCACCTAGATCTATGTCTATATCCGTATCTATATATATATATATATTTATTACCGGCTGTTGCATGGCAAGGACACGGGCAGTCCGTTCCTTGAGATCGCCACCGGCTCGCTGTATTGGACATCTCTCTTCACGATGGCGGATAATCAGGCCCAGTTTAGCGCAAGCCCGTGCGAAGTGGCACACTCCCAAACCAAACACCTCGGAGAGGGGATTTCTAAGCCTCATGGAATTTCAGGTAAGTCAGGCCCCTTAGTGCCCAGATGCTTTGAGCAGCTGCACTTGGGACAAGCGAGAGATCATATCAGACATGTGCCTGTCGAAAACAAGCACAGTCCTACATTCTGCCATCCATGCCATCAATCTTGGCTTTACGACGCCTCCTACCCATCACTCCGAAACTCTCCCCTTACCACCACTTTCTTGTTAGTTTTCAACCAGGACATGCTTTTTTTAGGACTTCTTTTGCCGATTCGGATTTGTACACTACAGCCGTATTTCGGGCTGCCCCTGCCTTCAGCTGGCGCCTCCTCCGGCCGCCATGTTTGCGTTTTTTCCCCTCTCTCCATGTCATGCCATGCCTGCAGTGCCACAGCTGCACAGTGGTCCATAAATAGCTGGTGCTGGTTGCTGGTGCGTCGAGGACGTCTTGGATGCTTTCCTCCTCAATACCAGCGACGAACGCCGGTTGAGCGACTCAGCTGAAGCGATACACTTGTACGGCATAGAAGGTCCGAGGCTTGGCCTAGTGACCTAGTGCAGTTCCCGGCAAAGGTGAGACGGAGGAGGGGGAAATCAAGTGGTCAGCTCGAGACCGCGACGGCAGATGTGCCATTGAGATTGAGGCCAAGCGCCAGGGTCAAGACTCCTGTTCTCGGATCCCGTCTTCCCCACATTTTGATGGGGGAAGACCATTTGCAGCCAGGCGGATATGGACGCGCGTCGGAGGCCTCGCACTTCTCAAATCAGGACCATCCAAAGAAGGAGACCATTCGTCATGAAGATGACTGCAGAGTTTGACGGAACCTGCGAGGCAGTCACGAAACCGCAGGAAAGTCATGTTGAGTATTTCCGAGTTTGAGGACATGTTTTCCTTCCACGGTATGCCGGGCAACAAAGGCCATGACACAGAAGTCGCGTCTTCGGTCGGTGGAAGTGGAGCCCGCAGGGGAAATGTGCCAGCGCAACCGCGTGATGTGCCTTGAGAAGATGGGGCGCCACCGTGCAAGACTGGAGAGCGGCAGACTGCTCAGTGAGGAGGGGGTTGGGCGGTGCGGCCATGGGGAGGGTGTGACCTTTTAGACGAATGTCCTAAGCTTGTATGCTTGAGGACTTTGCTGACGAGACCTCTGACAAACAGCATGTTCTCCTGAATTAGTTAGAGTAGTCGATGAATACTTTTCAATCAGCACAGGGGACTTCTTTCTGCACGGGGGAGTTTGAATGTTCGATCCGCCTGGTGCTGGAAGTGGCCAGGACAGCGAAAACGAGGCGATGGCAAGAACCATGGGTCGCTTCACGCACAAAGCGAAGCGTCTGCAATTTCAGTTGAGATGCAAGGTGCCTCGGCCTGTTTTGTCAGATCGCTGAGTCGGATTGATACTGCAACGAGTAGTCGGGTGAGGGTTCAGCACACGCATGCGACCCCTGCTTCGGTAACTTCGAGCGCCTGCCACAAACAGCATCAAGCGGGAGAAGCCTGAGCAGGAACGGAGAGGCAGAACTTCTTGCACTCTCCGTGGAAGACGCAAGGCCAGCAGGATGTGCAGCATAAGTAGTTTTCTGTTGGCTGGGGTGGGTTAGAGTTCGGAATTGAGGCTTGGAAGTCGTCGTGTTATGGATATGCCGAAAAGACTTAAGCCCTTCCCCTGAGCCCCAAACCCTGAATCGCAAGGGGCCGTTTGGAGGAAGGATGCTGTCCGGCGGCCGTCCCCAGAGGGGCAAGGCACACCATGAGTTGCGTGGGCTGGGTAGCGCTGTTGGACATGCAGGTCTAATAGGATGCAGCAGAGGGACATAGCTTCTCTGCACACCAGAGATGTGATCGATAAAAAGGCCACTAGCTTTCGACTTGTTTGCAGCGTCTTTAGTGTTGGAAACAATGAAAAATGGAGGACTCCTAATGTAGATGGTCTTAGAACCCTAGAAGCTTCAACAGCAGCAGTTCGGTACTGCAGAACTAAATTGGGATCCACTCGAAAACCCAATACCGACAGGCCGGAAACCCTGCGAGAGCGCGCATGACGTGGTCCTTCACCAATGGCCCGTTTGCCACGAACTTTACAGGCTTCGTGAAGGCCAACATGTGGGCAAACAGAATCCTGGCAGCAACCAGGATGTTAGCAACCGAAGTTGATTCATGTTCTGCCTTGGCTCTGAAAATCACAAGGGCTGTAGTGACTGTATCAGTGTCATAGTTGCAGTTCTCGTTGCAGTTGCCGTCGTCGTTGCCGTTGGCGTGGCGCCGTCGTGTGTGGCCGGCTGCTTCTGACTGTGGTTCCTAACAATAATATGAGTTTTGGTTGGTGGTTGGTGATCATCTGAGATTATTTTCGGTGGGTGTTGTTCGCCAGAAAGGCCCCTCTGCAACGTTCAAAGTATTTTGTCTTCAGGGTTTTTGAGGCCTGCAGCTACTGGGGGAGGGAGGGTGCGGCCACACTGTTGCTGTAGTGTTCACTGGTGTGAGAACTGGCTTTCCCCTCTATGTTTGAGTAATTCGTGTTTTTTGCTGCAATCTTGAATCCGGAGCCGTCGTAATGGAAGGTACAGGTAGGTGCTTTGTTCCGTAGCGGAACCACGGCAGCACGAAGTCGTGCTGCTCGGACTGGAGAACGCTTGATATTGAGGTTGGGGAGTTCGTTGCTGCCTGCTGCTCAGGTGAAGAAGTCGCCAAAAAGGGGAAAGAGACTTGGATTTACTTCAGGGCGTACAGGTCCTGGTGACTGTGCTACTGTAGGCCTCCAGCAGGAATTTGTAGCGAGACTTGTAGAGAACGCAGGCCCGTTCCTCCTGATGCTATAGACTCATTTTGCTTGGTTTTTCCGTGTGTCGATTTCTTATGTCACAAGCTGAAGGAGCTGGGACCACCGCGTCGGCCAAGAAACAGGTGGGCGGTGAAGTGGCTGCACATGGGCAAGAGGCGCTGAGCCACTCGAAGAGCAGGCAGCTTGTCATAGGAAGGCAGGGAATGCCCTGCCGTGTTTAGTATTTTAGTATTAGGTTTAGATTTCTGGCATCAGCCATTTTATCGAAATGACTTCGAGATCCGCATGACAGAAGCAGCGACTATGGGAGCACGTAGAAGAGTGCACACATCCCCGACTAACGATCCTGTTCCATGCTTGACCTTTCTTTCCACTGTCTGGGTTCGAGGTTGTTTCGGCTCGGATGTTCTCTTGTGTGGCTTGCCGAATTCGGATTTCAAGGTCATTTATTTAAGTCTCAGAGTCTCTCAATTTTCTCCAGAGCCTTGAGGCGCCTTGAGGCCTTCACTGGCGGGATTCTTCAGGCCCTGTGCGTTGGTCTGGACTCCACGTCAGGGTGTGCTCGCTTTTGCAGAACTGTGGCACTGCTGAATCGCAGTCGTCTCTACAGACGGCGGAAAAAATCGCGAGGCTTTACTACATGCCTTTTCAGCTCTGCACTCCCCAAACCTGCAGCCCCACTAAACCCCAGACATCATTGACATCATAGGGCTACACCCTGCTACGCCAACACTCCAACAACAGCCCACCACAGCCACCACCGCCAACCGCATGCACGGCGGCTGGCACGATGACATCAGATTCGGTAAGCCGTCGCTCCCGTGCCGTCCTAGCCTTTGCCCTCGGCACTTCTGCAAGATGGATCTTTTGGACAAGGACGGTGACTGCATACACTTCATCATTGATGCCCATGGCAAGCTGAAAGAGCCACTTTGCAGCAACGCTATCCGCATAAATGCAAGCGTTGCCTCACACGGCGCTGCATCAGGGCCGTTGGTCTCGCGCACTTTACGTTTATGGATGCGTATTGTATGTTTCTGAGGTATGTGAATGGCCAACTGGAGATCGAGGATGTGCGATGGCTGCAGCACTTTGGAAACATCTCCTTACCACAGTGTTGCATGTCGGACTGAATACTCGACCGCTGAAGCACTTTGCTAAGCGGCGGTGGAGTGTGCGAGCCAAGACACCTTACTGTAGCGTCTGCTTACACGACCTGTTCTCTCTCCATGGGCATCAGTACACATTGCACTCTCAGAGTTTCATGCACGCAGTGGCAGGCAGGCCAGGCAGCCATTTCTGGTCGTAGGCAGCAGCAATCTCCTCTTGGGGTTTGGCTCTTCTTAGGGTTTACGTCTTCTTTTAGGGTTATGGGTGTCGCAATCAAGATCTCGTTTAGGGTTTGGGGTTTGGCAACCAGCTACTAGGGTTCTTTGTTTCGCAAATTTCTGACTCGCACCTCCTTGTTTTCGACTTCTCCCGGCTGTGTTCCCGACTGGTGCCGTCTTGGTTCGGACTCTTGGCTTCCGACCCAGGTACAGCGCAGCTGCTGGCAGCATCACCGATGCAAAGGGAGTTTTCGAACTTCAGCAGCAAGACCAGGCGACTTGCAAGCTCTCTTGAGGGATGGGCTGTGTCGTGCTGTGTGCAGGTTGAGAAGGCGCTTGGGCTCCATGCCTTGGCCATGCGTGCCGGCATCGAATGGCGCGGCGAACGGCCTCCCCCGGCGCAGAAACTGCTGGTCACAGACACCGATGGAGACAGGTGCGGGGGGCGGCGGCTCCGACCTAGAGGCTGACGAATTGAAGCTACACCGCCCTGCCGAAGGCTGGAGTTCGTCTTGAACGACGACGGCAAGCTTCAGGACTTAGGTTAGTAGTGCCTGTAACGACGGGGACAGCATGGCCGTTAGTCAGACCAAGTGTCATCTTCGCACTCCCCTAGCTTCGGGCATGATGTCTGCGTGCAGGAATTCAACAACGGAGAGGTGGATCTGATGGAAGTCACCACCATGTGCTTCAAATTTGCTGATGGTTCCGTCACTGATGACACAGGAGAGCAGCCACTGGCAGTCAGCTTGGTATTCACCGGTCACTCTGATCGGACAAGTGCTCATCGTTTGTAGTCCTTGCTGCATGCTAACGTTCGCAATGCTCATGTGGAGAAGTTGGCGATCAAGTGCTTAAAGCATTCCGCTAAGCAGAGCTAGCAACGCAGAGCGTTTCGGCACTCGGCTCATCCGGGAACACTGGAGACTGCAGATCGCACCCTGGCAGGAGTCTTCACCTTACCGCCCCGGGAATGCATGCAGAAAGCCGCCGCCCTGTACTCTTTGGCCCTCGAGGCGTCTTGGCTTGCCTCCCGAGTTTTGCAGCAGAGCCCGGCGTTTCCCTCCTGTTCCGTTTGTGGAAGTGGCTTCAGCTTGGCAGCCCTGCTTTCTAACACGGCTGCAATCAGGCTGGCATCAGATGGACCGGCGACATCCCGCTGCAGGCTTCGATCTTCAGCTTGTCGCAGCTTTAGCCCTTCTGAGTACATGGAAAGCAGGTCTCCGCACTGCCGCTTGGAAGCGAACCTAAGGCGAGCGGTGGGAATCGTTGTAGGTTTCTGTCTTTGGGTTGCAGGTTACCCAACCCTGCAAAGGTTCTTGACATCGAGAATTGTGCGGGAGCAGGGGCCCCAGTTCGGACCGTCTTAGGGGTTTCGTGTCAGCTGTGGATGCCCAGTCACTTAAGCAGCCCTCGAACGTCCTCGGATCCTTTACGGACACCGCCTCTCAGGATCCCCCCGACCTCCCGTGCATGCCCGACCCCTCAACCTACTATCCAGGGTCTCTTGACCTTCGTTCTTGGCGGTGTTTCAGCCGCCACTTCGCGGCTACCTTTTGGCACGAGAGAGCCCAGCGCTCATCCTAATTTGGAAGAAGTGGCAGAACATCTGAAAAATACTTCGGTGCCCAGCTGTGCCAAAGACTGTTGACATTCGCTTCGTCACCGGTTAACTACCTACATGCCGGAACTTCTTGAGGTTTGGACCAAACCAATGCAACCAATGGTTTGGCACCGCGTAAGTGCCATAACGCCCGGACGTTGAGCGTAGCCGATCCTGACATCGTTTTGGATGTGCATCAGGCTTTTTCCTTACTGTTGGCAGCTTGCTGGGGACCGAATGCACGCGAGAGTTTTCTCGCAGTTGTGTTGGCTTGACCCTGGGCGCATGCCATGATTTCCTGACGTTTGTGCTTACGTGCCAGAGAGTCCACAAAAGTTTCGACATTTATTTAGAAGGGGTGCCGGGATGCACAATATGACTTTGTGTCTGTGCCACAACTTCCGGACACAGAATTTCAGAGCCGGGGGTGCAAAGCCCTGCTCGTTCCTTGCCGGCGGCAAGACTGGAGCCTCCCAATGCTTGGTTTTCCGACCTGTCTCCGGGCGCCAAACCAGATCGTTGCATCCAGGGCCTCCGTGTCCGAAACGATGGTGACCGAACAGAGGCCCGGACATGGCAGGGCATTTTAGCAGCGTCAGGGGTTATTGAGGCATGCCCATCGCCGAGACAACTGCCGAACATGTGTTTCTTCGACTAGGTATGTTGTCGCGAAGTTTTGGGGCAGGGCAGGCTAGACACCCGGAGAAGTGCACGACGTGGACTGAGGACTGGGAGTATGAGTGCCCCAAGCTTTGGGAGAGCTTGACTCCAACAGATGTGCCGAACCAACGATTCTGTAACGTTTGTGGCTTGGCAGCGATGGCAACAGGCTGCTATGGAGCATAATGCAGCCGTGGCCAGAACCAGAGCAGCGATACCTCTCCCATCAGCCATCAGTTCAAACAAGTATTGCTACCGGCATACTGCAATCATTCACAGTACTGCTCGGCCACCCGGAAGCTCTTCAAACCCCTATGGAGTACTGCCCTGGCAAACCCTGCAAACTCATAGCAGTCTCGCCCCGCTACACCGGAATCCTGTACAGCCTGTGACTCACTGAAGCCCCTGGGAGTTGCGCCACTTCCATACCGAAGCCCTTCCAATCCAATGAGTCACTGGTAGCTTCAGCATCGAAGGCAAAGAGAATGTATATTTTTGCGAATCCATTGAAGAGATCAACGCGCACACCATGCAGCGCCGTTGCGTGGCCTTCCTGGTTCGTGAAACCGCCGTTGGTGCAGCGACCTCTGCTAGTGCAGAGCAGAGTCGGCTCCTTAGTCACTGGTTCGGGAGTTTCGAAGCTACGGTACGAGCTTTACGGTTTGAGGCTCGGTGGGAAAAGTTTGCCAGGTGAAGGCTGTCGTACAGTAGATTCCGGCTGCGAAAAGTTTCCATGTCAACAACATGGACTCTGACAATGCCAATGTCACTCGCTGGCACTCATCGTGAGCTCCCCATCCCAGCCATCCGCCGGAACCTCAAGCTTCGAAACTAAGCGCTTGTAATCAAATTCTTTAGCCGCCTGCAACGCTACACACGAACGACAAACTCCCGAGGGCGAAGCCACTTTCCCATGCTCGCGGGCTCTGCATTGGACAATACTTCCCTGTGTCGGGAAACCAGGTTCGAGTGCTGTTGCGTTCACATTCCTTCTTGATGCCCATTGCAACTTCGCCACCAATGCAAGCGACAAGCCTACGAGCCCGAAGAGCTGCAATCACCGCCGAAGCCTGAACACTTTAGGTGCCATCTCACTACACATCGCCTTACTTTCCGGGGAAGAGCTTCCAAAGTTGAGCGTTCCTGCAGAAGCAAGCATCTGCAGCGTCAAGAAGGCAGTGTGCAGCATTCATACCCTGGCATAACAAGTGTAGTTGCAGGTTTACATAAGACGCCTGGGCTTGAATATGGGTTCTTGGGCACAGCTTCCGTGAATTGAGAGATTCAGAACCTGGTGTTTGATTTTTGAGGGGGTAGAGACGTACTGTACCGTCTGCATCGTCAATGTGTATGTCCCCACCAGGTAATGCGGCTGGCTAGGTGTTTAGTGCAGGCAGTGGCAGAAGTGGCCGGCATACCCGCGGAGGAGCAACAGACCCATGGCAGCATCAGACAGAAGCATCGCTGCTATGCAGTTCTAAATTCGAAGGAGCTTTTTTCTATCATTTTCAGCTGAGATCAACCAGCCCTTCAGTCTGTTATGTTTGTTTTGGAGTGTCTTGGTTGAGGTTGCTTCTGGAAGGCCGGCAGCTGAGTGACGAGGAAAGTCTCGCCTCCTGCGGCCTCGCAAAGGAGGCAAGACTTCCCAATCAGTTTTGTCGAGACGTCTTCTGAGATGTCGGGGTACTTTGTGGGTGTGGCTTTCCACTTCACCAGGCAAGGTCTGAGTCAAGTCCTGAAGAAGGTGGGTGACCTCTCTCTCCCTGTCGCTTTTCGTTCTTGCTCTGTGCGGCAGAGCCACAGGCTGGGCTGAGCTGTTTGGCTTCCATGCTCTGTTAACAGTCAAGGCTGTCGACATAGGCAGCTGGTACGATTTTTCGGAGTACCGAGTGCCTGTCGTATCCACTTTTTTCACTGGTCTGGGGTCGTGGGTGGGCGGGCCTCGGAGGTCGCATGTGTAGCTGTTGCACGGCTAAAGCGGCTCAATGTGTGCTACGCGCTCTTTTTCGAAACTGCATCCACAAGTCCGAACCACATTCCGAATCAAAACTCCAAAGATACCCTTCACAGGCGTTTCTTCAGCTTATCCGGGTGCTAAAACCCGTGCTCGACCGGGTCCGAATTGAGGGAAAGCGGAAGATGGGAAAGAGGAGGCCGCCACCTCGCGGATGACCTGAATCTCGCAACAGAGCAAAAAATCACGGGAAAATACACAGATGGTATGTACATATTCCCCACAGTGTGGTAACACGATGGGGTTCTTGCATTGGGAGTGAAGAATTGATTGTAATCCTAACGCGGCGTGTTCCTAATATTTATATATAGAAGAGATTAGAAGAATTATTGGGAATATTACTAAATTCTATTGAATATTTAAAATTCGGATGAGAAATTTTCATATTTTGTAATATAGTTCTCTTATATATGAAGGTTAAAAAAAGACGAGGCGATGTTCGGTCTAGACATAAATAACAATATAAATAATGAATTCCATTGATATAATATGATTATTTTCGGCGTTTAATAATGAATTAGGAATTCTTGATTAGATTGATGAGATTTGGGAAATGGATTTAGCTATAATTAATGATATTTTGAAATTTATTATTTTAGATTTTTTTGAATCTTAAGATATTATATATATATATATACATTTATTATATTATATATATATTATTGGATTATTTAGATTTTGGATTTCTTTAATAAAGATATTCTGAATGATACGATTTTTTCGGAAAAGAGTTTAGATTTTAGAATTTTTTTGATTTCGAAATTAAACAATAATATATAGACAATAATTTCGAAAGAATGATTCGGCAATAAATTACATATATATTTTAAGGGAAAAAATAATTTCGATAAAAATATATTAAATATATTCTTTAATTTAATATTATTGATTATCTCGAAGAATTTTCGTTTATTTAATTTCTCTAGCAAATGACGATTTTTTTTCTATATATCTTTTTTATAATTATTAATTATTTAAATTCTATATATTAATTTGCACGATTATCGAAAATTGATGAAATTTCCAAATAATTTATTATGAGATTTAGGATTTTTTTCCGACTTATTATTTTTTTCGATGAAATTATTATCTTGTCTTTTCCGTAGCAGATAGATGATATAAAACTCTATAATTATTGAAATAAATATTTCTAGTAATCTTTGAAAGATAAGATCTGCTCCTATTAAATTAATCGTCGTTCGTCTGAGATACGATATTGTCGTCCACGATATTCGGAATTAGGTCCGTCGTACTTCTGATTATATTTCCAAAAATATCTTGAAAATCGATTTTTATAATACTTTTAATATGAATAGAATAGATCTATGATGATAAATCCGATTATATTTGTCGGGATTCTTTTTTCATATAGAATAAGTACATAATCGTTATGACGAACTCCTGTTTGATCGCACCTATCTATGTTCTGTAGTCGGAATTCATGCCTCGCTTTTCAATCCGTATTGTAAGGCGCCCGACTGAATTTGACCCTACGATATCGCCTGATTTTATGATGGCATATCTTGACGTTCTTAACGACGTATGCCTGGGCGGCGATTATCTCCATATCGCTAAAGTCGCCTTGCCATTGTTGCCCGCCGACTACGATTCGGGCTGAATCCTGGCAAATACGAAGATATATGCTGCGGTGTCGTCCGACCCCCCCCTCTTCCCTCTTTATGGTTACTCCCTCTTACCGGCCTCGTTATGCTGCTTCCCCCCTTGTCTCTGTGGTGTGGGTGATGAGGTTATTTACGTGGGTTGTTTAACCCCTTCATCCCTCCTGTGGTGGGTTTTGGGTTAACCCCCCCCCTCCTCTCCTCCCCTGTAATGTGGTGTGGTGAGGTGGTGGGTGGTGGGTTTTAGGTTTAGTGTTTAGTCCCTTCCCTCCTCCCTGTGGTGTGGCGGTGGGAGTTGGGTTTAAGGTTTGCACCCCCCGCGCTTGGCGTCGGTTGTGGGATTGTTTAGGGTTTGGGTGTATAGATATGAACGGATTTAGGGTTGAGGGTCAGCAGCTGGGCGCGGCGCAATTCGAAACCGTGGCCAATCCAGGTAAGTGTCGCCATTTTGGACCCGCCAGGAAGTTGCATAGATTCAAAAGTCAGAATACTCACGAGGAGCCCCGGTTCGGGCTGAGACAAATATGACGACCCTCACGAAGATTTCGGGTGTATACCATGGTACCACCCCTTAGCCCCACTAGTGTGTTTCCCCCAGCCCCTGTGGTGTCGGTGGTGGGGGGTGTTTGTTTATAGGGGTTGTTCAACCTCCCCTCGTCCCCCTCTTGTGTGGAGTGGGTGTGGGTTTCAGGTTTAGTATTTCTCATCCTTCCCCGCTGTGTGGTGGGTGTTGGGTTTAGGGTTTGCACCCCCCGCGTCCCCTGTGGTGTGGGTGGCGAGGTTATTTAGAGTTTAAATATGATAGTGCTCTTTTCCGTTACGCATGATGAATTGGTGCCTAAATATTTGCCGACAATTATATTTCCTTGGAAGCAAAGTTTCGAACAAAGTCCTTTATATCTATCACTCCGTCATGGGACGAACTATATATTTTTCCAGCAGATTAGATTTGAAGTCAGATTAATTCGGAAAATCGACTACGCGCCATTGAACAAGATTCCAAAGGCTCGTGAGGCCAATGGAGAGAATGAGTAAAAATCAATTATGATTTAAATGTATAGATATGGACTAATTTAGGGTTGAGGATTAGCAATTGGGCGCGATCCACCCCGAAACCGTGAGGAGAGTGTCGCCTCTTTGGACACGCCACGAAGTTGTATAGCTTCAAAAATCACAACACTTACGAAGATCCCCGGTTCGGGAAACCCATCTCTATGACTGTTGGCACTTTTAAGACAAAAATACGATCCTCACGAAGATTTCGACCATTGAGGGGGGATATCAGGGGAAGAAATGGGGGGGGAGGGTAACGACACACGACACGAGACCATATATATACTAGATCGGATAATTCCATTGATATACGGACTTTGCCAACAGATATATAAATCTCTCTGATTTATATTTTCTTTTTCTTGAAGAAGATATCCATCGAATCATCTAATTTCTTAAAAACATTCATCATAATTGAACAAGTGGCGAAGATACGTCCGCTATTATATGAATTGATATCGAAGAACATCTTCTTGCCGGAATATGTCTCATATCGCTTATATCTTTCGATACTGATGTGTATGGCTTCCTTGAATTATTGAGCTTCGTGCCTTTCACCCATGGCAACCTGGGAATATATATCCCTAACAATATCTACGGACGACCTTGATCTCAAATTATTTAGCCTATATATATCGCTGACTACTTGCATCGCCTTCTTCTCCCAAATAACGACAATATATATTAATTTGAATCTTATCGCCTCAAGATCCAAAACGAATCGCGCCTATTCCCCAATATGATCCAATTCCGTCTATATTTACCAATTGTACCGATTAATAATACAGACGATCGATATGACGATATCATATTTTTCCTCACGATCTTATCAAATGATATGATTCGGAAAGAAAAATAAAGAAAACAAATTTCCTGCTGACCCTATATCCAGACCAAGACGAAAGCGATAATAATTGCGGATCTGATCTCTCGAGATTTTCAGATATTAGATGATATAATGAGCTCTATCAAGATCTCTTTCATTCGATTTTGCCATCATATCTAATATCTGAATCAAATAATCATAAAAATCATGAGGGGCGTAATCTAATCCGCCAACTCACGAATATCATTATTGCTCAGAGGATCTACCATTCTTTTCCTTTATAATTGATATATATGGCGCTGGATGATATTCCATTAGCCTAATTATATATTGAATATTTTTTAATTTGATCTAGTGAAATCCTCGTTTATGGTCTTCCAAAAAGATAATGAACGGGCGGTAATCCGCCAATTAGCTCGACGGAGGCAGATTTCTGGATCAATTTAGAGTAACTAAATAAAGCGACAGGTCCGATTAGCTCGCCCCTGGCGACAAGAATAGTATAGCGGGCCTAGCGAACCACAACAGCTCCTCCCGTTCTCCCTTTTGCCAATGGAGGCGGTCGTGTCGCGGTTTTTAGCCTCCACGGCGCGATGGGTACAAGGCTATTTTAATTATAATAAGCAAATTGTGCCGGGCGTAAAATGAATTTGAGGAAATTACGAAGATTAGCCATTAGATCCAGGCAATAGATCTTATCTTAGGCTCATGACATAAGATAGAGATATATATTTAATATATCTAATCGATATCGGAATCTATATCTATTGGACGAAAAACTAATGGGGAGCGATAGCTCTTACGAAAATTCGATAATAAAAGAAAAGAATCATTATATCGATATATCATCTAATAAGAAATATATCGCAAATCTAGTATTTATCAAAAGAATATTAAGTCAGATAAATAAATGATATATTTGATGCATAATCAATCCATAGAGAAATCATTAAAAAGAATAATAGAAATATCATCAATATATGGATAACTCCAGAAAAAAACAGAAGGCACGAGAAAGAGATTTTAAATTATCACGATAACAATTCCCGCCCGATGCAAAAAGAATATACGATTAATCAAATAATAAATCTAGAATTCGCCATATTAGAATTCTCCATTCGATCAATATTATCAATATCGTCGATAATATCAATCTTTATAATAGATTTTTATTAGATTTTAGAATAGCGCCCCCAGACGTATTGATTTGGCGCGTCGAATCAATAAGAAATAATGAAAATATTGGTCCTTCCAAATGATTCGTATCTTTCACGACATCCCTGGCGCGTATATATGCTGCAATTCTTTTTATAAATTCGTTATATCTTCTATATTTTTATTTGTCAAAATAATCATTGTGCACCATATTTCATATCATAATAATACGACGGATCGCACCCCAATATTCCGTATGCAATAAGAACGACTCAATCGTAGGCTATGGAGGTCCAGGCACTAGCACACCCGAAAGCCTGGCAAACCCAGCGGTGGGGGAACGGCACTTCCAAGAAGATTCGGCGAAGTTGCTGGGTACCCAATAATGAGGCTTCTAGGGATATATGCCTCTTCCTAATATCAAGAGACTCGATATCGGATTTGGGCGCACTACTTGCTCTTGACCTCCGGTTGGGAGATCAGGCACCTGCCCGACTATTCTTTC